CTGGGGGGGGGGTGGGGCGGGAAGGAGAGCGGAGAGGATTAATTAATTAATTCCTGGTTGCAGGAATTAGCCAGGCACCAGCTGCCCCGCAGGCTCCAGCTGCAGTTGTTGGCCCCTTTGCCTTCTCCCCTGCATCCCAGAGCCAGAGGCAGTGAAGGCAAGAGGGGAGAGAGAGCATTTCCTCCCCAGCTCTTGCTGCCGCTGGGTTAGATGCAGCACAGCTGACAGGTGTCACACGCTGGAGGGGAAGGAAGGCTCCCCAGGCATCCACGTTATCTTTTAAGCCACAGCCATTGATGGCAGGGCTGGAAAGGCAGTGGGACAGTGGCCCAGGCAGGACTGTGGCTGAGCCCGGCCCCTCTGAACACTGAGCCAGCACCCCCACCTCCCAGCAGGTATTAGCACCTCCTTCCCTCCATCCCTAGGCCAGGTTGTCTTTTGACCAGATGATTTTGGGGCTCAGCAGGCTCAAGGACTTTTCTGACCCAACAGACGATGGATTTAGTGTGCTGGAGAGGGCTCTGCAGGCTTGGGGACTAGATGAGACATGCCAGAATGCCTTCCCCGAGCCACTCATCATCTCTCTGTGACTACTGAGGTTCAAAAGCTGTGAGTAATAATCAGGCTTTGTCAAACAAACACAGGTTACTCAGGGTAAACTGCTCAAATCTGGAAAAGACAACTGCTGAGGTGATCTGGAAACTCAGGGCAAACAACCAGACTTTGCTGACAGAGCTAAGTCTGGGTTGGCTTACTTGTTCTTAACTGTAACTCACTGCTTATTATTGTTCTAACTTTTAAAAGATCAGGAAGAATTATTCATTGAACTCATGGAAAGACACCAGGAAATGTAGATAGGAAATTGCTTCATCCTCCAGCTGAGAGCCCCTTACAGAATCCTTATGAAAAGGTGTTTTTCTCCCAACTGTTGGGATGAAACAGCTGTTAAGAAAATCGAGCAAAAAAGCTTTCAGTAATCTGACTCAAAATCACATCCCTTCTCAGCTTTGTCTATACAAATTGTAAACATGGAAGCACAGAAGCACTCGACTGGCACCAACTGACTGCAAATCACTCAGGATCACTTGTGCATTGGCACAGGCTGAGCTGGACATTTGCTGGCAGTGCTGTCCTGGAAGAAATGTGAGCAGTGTCCAGGCTCCCATGTGCCAGCACGCCCCACCACACAATGCAGGGGGTAATCTGTCACTGAGGCTTAAACACCCCTGCTCAGACAAATCTGAGGTTTCTCTGCTGCCTCTGATAGATACCAACCCCTCTGCTGCCTGTCCAGGAAGGCTTCCAGCAGGAAGGATAAAGAATTAAAGCCTTAGAACAGTCTGCTAATGTAGAGCCTTCCAGGCCTTCACTATCAAGTGGAGAGGACAGAAGAAAGGCCCCTTTCTGTTCTCTTTTTTGCCTTCATAGGCACTTACACAACCAAGATGCTTCCTGCCTTTTATGGGAAATTAAAACAGCTCAGGATTTTGTTAGGAACTGTCTATGGAAGATTCTGCAGGCAACAAGTCTGCACTAGTTTATGCAAACGTCCCTTGCTTCTAGGAGCCTGACATACAACTCTAGTGGTGCCTAAATAGGACCTGGATGTGTCTTGACAAATTCACTTCAACCAGGACATGGAGAAGCTCCCCGTCCATTTTCTGGTGGTTTCTAGACCTACAGGCATTACAAGGATACCAACCACCCCAGCAGCACACAGAGACGTGGTGGGCATGTGAGCAGTCAGCAGATCCATAATTTCACATCTGGTTGCCAAGTGAACTGAGGGACATGCCTGCTCAGCAGCTTTGTTACTGCAAATGTTACTGCTTCCCAGTGGGCTCTCCATGCTGAACCCCAAGTGGTGCAAACAAAGAATATGGAAATCCTTAACAAGCAATAACTGTCTGTTTTGTAGGAGAACTGATGTTGGGCCCAGACCAGTTGCATGGATGATGCAATAATTCCAAATAATTGGAATATTTTTGCTGTTAGCAGATAGATTGTAAGAACTGCAAAGCCCCAAACAAATGAAGTCTTTCTGAGAGCTGAATGGCTCAGTCATTACACACATTCAACCCCTGAATTTCAGGAAGAAATCCTCCTAACCCTGACTTAGGTCAATGCAGAGGGCAACAGCACAAAGTCTGCTCATTTTCACTTGATCCAAAGTAGCAAGATGATGCTGGGCACCAGCCAGCATGCACATCAGTGCAAGCTCCTTCCCAGGGAATGTCAGAGTTAATCTCTTAGTGATAAAGAACCAAAATGTGAATGAAGGTCTTGGTTGGGGCTTTCCAAAGAGAGCATAATCTAAAACAGGGCTCTCCTTTTTTTGTCCCTGTGATTCCTGTGAGCTCCTGCTCAGATCCAGAATTACTGTTCTCTTTAACACTTTGGTCCTCTTTTTTCAGGCTCACTTCAGAAGTGTCCCAAGTGTCAGACACATATTCCTTGTGTCTTTCTGTGTTTCTCTTTAAGCAGCCCTCTAAGCTCTTCAACAAAATCTACTATTTGGATTTCAGATCACTCAGTGATAATGCTTCCCACCCTTGGGAAGTGAATGACTTATTGTGCAAGCAGCAGAAAGCAGCTCCAGTCTCTCTTGCCCTGGTGTTCAAGGAGATGGGCTGTCCCACACGGGGCTCATCGGTGCCAACTGATGCCCAGGCTGCAGTTCCTCAGGCTGGTATCTGATGGTTGCCAACTCTCCAGCACCAGTAGGAGTAAAAATTGCAATTCATAAAGCACCAAATAATGAGCCATCATTAATTGTGACTTGATCTGTGAATTGGGATTAATAAAAGCAAGATGGAATGAAATAATTCACCTGTTTCGTTCTGCCATATGGGCTATTAAAAC